ATGATAAACATAATTAATACAAATAAATTATTTATACAAATAAGTTGTAAATATAAAATACACAGAAAAATATTTTTCTGCTTTTTCGTGTAAAAAAAAATTATACTAACTTAGCAATAGATATGAATCCACAAGATGCTGTTGCGTGTAAGGGTGTCCAGCCTTCATTATCTCCACGATTGATATCCGCTCCTTGTTCCACCAAAAATTCCACCATATCCAGGTCATCATCAATGCAGGCCTGTTATAATATAATATAAGTATATAATGTGCTGATTAAATTCAACATGTGCGAGTACATGTGTTGAACAAGAGGGATGAAAAGCGAACACGATTGGCAAGATGTATTTCGAGGTCTCGGCATCGAGACTACCGATTTTACTCAGTCTAGTCAAGTCTGGTCGCAATCCAAGGTTTGAATCGACGTTATAAATGCGCTATTAAATTTACAATTACATTTTATTTTTTTAAAAGAAATCTTTAAAAGAAACAGTATTTTTATATTAATAAAATGTTTTATCATAAATAAAAAATAATAAATTTATGTTATAACATTCATAAAATTTTTAAGAACAATCTTAAATATAATTCTAAGTAAAATCATGAAATAAAATATAAAGAAAGAGATAAAATGTATTTGTCATTTAATAATTTCTATACACATTTCATAATTAATTTATTCATGCAGATTAAACACATAGTAAAATTATGAAATACTTTTTACATCATTTAATATGCGCAAATTCCCATGGTTATGATATTACCGAGATAAAAAAAGTTTGGTACATATTACAACATTGCTAGACATAGAGAATTTAAACTGAACACAGATGCTGCAGTCTGTGACTTCTAACAGAGAGCTATAAATAGCATTTGATGCCTGATGTATTTTCACATTCTATTTTCGCAAATCCATGAAATACCTTAACTTCCTTCCTTCTCACTTAAATAACAGCCATAAATATTGGTTCACGTTATGGAAAATGTTATTCCATTTAATAAGAGTTGGATAAGACTCCCTATCGCTATTACTACTACAAGTATTCTTTTACATTTACATGATTATATTAAACTACACTTTCATAGTTTTATCAAGTTTCAAGATCGTTATGGTTGTCAATCAATTTAATTGGTAAATATACATAAAAGATATATTATTCAGGAAATGTAAAACGAAATTAATATATATATATATATATATATATATATGTGTGTGTGTGTGTGTGTGTGTGTGTGTGTGTGTGTGTGTGTATTCTATCAAACATTATTTTTTGCAAATTTTTATTTAAATTTTCAAAAACATTTTGCATAATTTTATATTGGTCACGATTAGTGAAAGTTACTTGTTTAAAGAATTACTTTTGTTTGGTCGAAATATAATTTCTTTTCTTTGCATCAGAAATTCTTACACGCTAACCTTCTCATTAATGTATCCTCATTAATTACTTAGTACTGTAATAACCGTTATGGTATACGTGTATATACAAGGTGTCCCGGATTACCCAGTTGTGTCCACTTTCGGAAACACCCAAAAATAGGCTGCTCGTAAAAGCTTGCTATTCGCGAAAAAAAAAAAAATCGTTGCTAATGTGACAAAAAAATTGTTCTACGCAACTCTATGTTTGAGAATACAAGTTACAAATTTTACATAATTACAAATTTTTGAAAAATCGGTATACATAGTTAATCTTCTTTCGTAGCAAAGATTTTAATCTTAATTTTCTAAGTTTTAACAATTAAAAGAGCAATAAATAATTAGTCTGTCCGAGGAACTATTGCAAAACAGAAAAAATAATAGTTTTAAGTCTTTAACTGAAAAAGAACCCGTCATGCAATTGATCATTCAATACAACAAATTATATATATATATATATATCGTTACATACACAATTTTATATACATTCAATTTTAAAAATAATATATATGAAATATGTTGGCCTCAGTAATTATTTTATATTCCAACATAAGTCGAAAACACAACATATAATAAAAATATAAATTATTTTTAATAAAAATATAAATGTAGAGATGTAATACATGTATCTAAAAAATAAAAATATACAAACATTCCAATCATAAATATGCTTAAAGAAATACATTAAATATACTTTATAAAAAATAAGTAATTTTGACAAATTTCAAAAAAATTTTAATAGAATGAAATAAAATTAACGAAAAAACATCATTCATTAATCATGGCCATTAATTCTTTAAATTAAAGATTTATTCAAGAACTGCTTTGTTAGGCAATAGGTCAAACTTAAGAGTAAATATTCTCTAGCAAATCAAATAGTATTACTTTTAACGCAATTAAATGGAGTTTTAGAAAATAAATGTATATGTGTATCTATATGTGGAATTTCTCTCAGGAAAGTTTAATATCTTCTTGCAATACATAAATTTAAGATTCCATCATTTTATTTCGTTGAACATAGTTTATAATGTTCGTATTTGCATACAACACAGATTTTAAAATAAAATCTAAAATTTGATTTGAAAATCTAAAATTTTAATGTTGCTCTAAGCATGCTCCATATATTTTTACATATTTTTAAGAAAAGTGAATGATAAACATTAGATTCTAACAAATACCGAATTGAATGACCGATTAAAAAACACGTTTATAACAATTTCATTTTGAAATTAAATATAAATTTAATTAACAAAATATTATTTGCAATCAAAACATTGAAAAAAAATTTCGTAAAAAAAAAAGAGATCGTGATAATTTTGAATTTACCGATTGCATATTTTTTAAATACAGTAGCTAACGCGATACGTCAAAACATGCAATGAAATTAGCATTTGGTTACACAAGCAGAGGATTACCACCTAAAGTAGCTTCCTCACTAATACACATATATAATAATTAACAGTTAAGAGCAGAAGACACTGTGTTTGTGATTATCGTGGCGGTCTCTTGATGAGATTCCAAGAGAGACCTGTTTTCTTTGAGGAGACCGTATCGAATCAAACACTGTGAACGGTATGGCGCGCTGTGTGTCACATATTTCTCTCTTTAAATCACATCTTTCACATTATGACAATCCCCATTATCGGTATGCCGAATATACGATACAAACGATTAATACTCTCGATTATTACAGTTCAAATTTACAGCTGGAGCTCGTAGTAGCCATCTTGCAGAATTACGTTTTCAAGAGAAAGAGGAAAAAAAAGGAAAACAAATCGCGCGTTCGGAAGGGCTGAAAGCTGTCAAAACCCCGCCGGATGCCGGAGGGATGCCAAAGGGATGCCAGCGCGAGCCTCTCATACCTGGTGTAGCGCGGTGAGACCGTCGACGTTCCCGGTATTGATGTCCGCCCCCTTCTGCAGCAGACGCACGACTTCGTCCTTGTCGCTGGCCGCGCACGCCGCCAGGAACACGATGTCGGCGGAGAATTTGATCTTGCGCGCGACTTGGCGCGGCTGTGCGGGCTCGCGATTTGTCTCCGACTGTTCCCAGCGCTTGAGCTGTTCGGCTCGCTTGAACAGGGCCGAGCTCGAACGTGTCTCGAGAGACATTGCCCCGACAACGGCGGCGGCAGCGGTGGCGGCGACGACGGCGGTGGCGGCGGCGGCGGCGGCGGCGATCGCGGCAGCGATGGTGACGGCGACGACAGGCGGCGAAGAGAAAAAGCACGACGCGCTCGCTCACGCGCTCTCGCGCACTCCTCCTCCCAAAGGGGCAGGTAGAGAAGAAGCGACGGCGACGGCGACGGCGACGGCAGCGGGCTGCTCCTATAATCGCTTCTCTTGTCGCGCGCACGGGCTTCTCTCCTTCTTTCCGCTTGGCACACGCGCGCTACCGCGCGCCACACAAGCAAACATGCAAGCCGACGCGTACACGGTCACTCTCATTCACTCGCTCTCTTACTCACTCCTTCGGGCTCGCCTCTCTCGTCCCCCCCCCGCCCCGACGACGAATGTCTTATCTGTCTAACTTTTTCTTTTTCTCACTCTTCTTCGGCCGCCCTTCGTGTCTTTCACTTTCGCTCCTCGTGCGTGGCGACGGCGGTGGTGGTGGTGGTGGTGGCGGCGGCGGCGGCAGCAGCGACGACGAAGACGATTATGCCGATGACGGCACGCACGCACGCACGCACGCACGCACGTATGCACACACACACATACACTTGCGCTTCACTACGCGCGATACGGCACGTGAAACAGGCGTTTCCCGCGATTCTGCTCCATATATGAGGGAGTAGATCGGCGCCCGCGACCGCGCGTTCCCGTCCGAGTGTTATTGTCGGTCGCGTCGAGTCTCTCGTCTTGACGGGTTACCCGGAAGGAGCGGTCGTACACGGTCGTTCGAACGGTCGATCGCCTTCAGTCATACACCTCCTCTCTGCCTGGCAGGCACTCATTTACGGAACGGCTTAGACTCGCATGCTCGTCGCTATTCTTGGCCGCGCTCTCTCGCGCTCCGTGCCGGACGAGCTCGGACACGAAACTCGAATCCCGCAACGCGTCGCCAACCACCGTCGGCCCCGACCGCCGCGTCCCTAAACGAACGATGGATAGAAATTCCAACCGCCGAGATATTTTCGTCTTATCACGAGAAACGAGTTCTTCTATTGGACGCGAGAAAGCTCTATACTTCTAGACTAAACACGCCGCGCCCATTCGGCCTGTTGGTTCAACAATTGAAAACGTGATTGGCTCTTTCGGAGGGGGGGGGGGAGTACGTTCCATTTTTTTCCTGAACGCACATCTGAATGCATCATTTGGGTTCGATTGCACCAACGTTATTTTGAATTTTAAGTATTTAATATGTAATATGCGTCACGTATATGATGTATTAAGTCTCGCTTAAAGCCCAAATAATACTGGTGCAACCGGGTCCTTGTTTAATATGTAGTAAATATAAGGATATAAATGATACATTATAAAAAACGGACTGCATCTTTGGATTTAATAGATCTATTCCTTTCAGCTTGCTGATCTTGCACGGTTTATCTTTCCTCTTTTTCTCTCTAACATAGAAAGAAAAGAAGAAGGTTAACCGCAAGTAGCGAAGGGAGCCACATGCGAGAATTACGATGCATCTCCCTATCGAGCCGTTAATCTCGAATAGCACATGATTCATGATTCATGCCGTAGTACTTGCTCTCTTTTTTTTCCTTCTTTACGCTTTTTCATCATCATGGGATAATTTTCATTTTCTCGAAACTCATCGTCGATTGGAGGTTAATTGTCATCTCTTTAATTCTAAGCTAGGCTAAGTCGCGACAAAATTTAGTGTGTACCCGTCCGACGAGATGGATACCGAGCACGTACTGAAGAACGACATCGGACAATGCTTGAAATTGATAGTGTCCGGGAACGACGCGACTGTCAGCGACGGCTGGCTGATGCTGCAAAATCTTCAGGATCGCGAATTCAACCAGCTGACCGACTGCGAGGAGACGCTGAGGGATATTCTCCGAGGCGAGATAGCAAATATGTCAGAAGTGCCGAAGATTATGGCTTGGATGTCGGGTTACATCACGGAGAAACGTTTCAACATCAATCCCATTTCCAACGACGTCGCCGTGCTACTGCGAAAAACGGATATCGACGACATGTCGCACCTGACTGAACTTCTGAGCACCCTGGCGGATCACAGGGTGTATCTGCCTAGATCGGCGAATCATACGAAACTCTGCGAGGCCATAGTCACAAGCCTGTCTTCCTTTCAGATGCCCTTGGAGCCGAAGAAAATAACTGAGTTTTATGACAACACCGCCAAGATTCAACATTTTCTAAAAGCCCTTTGTTCGAATACAAAAAATGGAGAGCGTGACATTCTCATGTTTACCTGTCTTCAAACTTTATATAACATCATATCCGATACAAATAGAAGACAGGAACCAGGTCCGGGACTCGCTGCCATATTGCAGCTGGTAGAAGCTTCCGTTATTCCACAGGCGGTAGACTGGATTCTATCCCAGTCTCATACCGACCATCAACTAATACAAGCCTTGAAAGTTTTATGCAACTGGCTCCCGAAATGGCTTGAAGATCGACTTAGCGTTTGGATAATGGAATTCATACGTGGTTTGGAAAAGCAACATAAATATTCCACCCTTCTTGAATTAACGGAATTTTCAATAGACATAGGAATGTTAATGTGTAGAGTGTTATTGATACCAGTGATCCGCCAGAATGCTTCTAACATTATATTTTATATCTTGAAGAGGCAAAGTTCATTATCATTTGTTCAGAATGTAGTTAAGAAGATACCGGCATTAATAAAAGGCTTGATGAAGGAAAATTCAGATTCCAGTAAAGACTGCATACAGAATTTAGTTGATATCATGAAAGTATACAGCAAGAGATTTTCTACCTGTATGCCATGTGGAAATGCAGAAAATTATCCTTTTCCTGTACCACCACGCATGCAAGTTGTTAAAGAACTTTGCAGGGAGCCAGTATGGATAGATGAAACAAAAGAATTTGAACCAATTGTAGAACCAGAAAGGCCATTATCTGGAAAAGTTGGACTATCCAATCTTGGAAATACTTGTTACATGAATAGTGTATTGCAAGCGTTATTAATGACCAGACAATTCTGTCAAGAAGTATTGAATTATCGTCCCTTAAATGAATCAAGTAAAACACCCTTGTTAGAAAAACTTCAAAATTTATTTGCATTATTATTATATTCTAAGAGAATATGTTTGGCACCAACTGAAGTATTACGAGCATCAAGACCAACATATTTTTTACCTGGACAACAACAAGACAGTTCAGAATTTTTATGGTTTGTATATTGTTTTGATTATATAATTTTTTTGCTCTTTATTGTTAACTGTAATTAATCTTCTATCAACAATCTGTAATTTAGCATCTTCTCTTGGTAACTTGGTCTTGAGGATTAATGTTTACACTGTAGTTTAGACTGTACAAAATTCTGAAAAAATTCTTCTATATTTATGTGGGAAGTTACTGAATCTCACCATCTATTAGTTATCCTAAGATTTACAGAGAATCAACTATGTCTTTAAATCCTCAGTTTATCAATAATCAAAAAGTTCAATTATCTCAGCAATATAAATTTAGATATTAATAAATTAAGCAAATTAGCGTGATTTGAAAGAATTTATTCTACACTTTATATATAAATATAATTGATTATTAAAAAATATAATCGATAAAAATTTTTTTGCAGTCATCTTTTGGATGTTCTGCATGAACAAGAAAAATCTGCCAATACAAACTGTGGAGGGAGTGATAATACGGCGACTCTTAAATGTAAAATTGAGAAACAGGAAGACTATGTAACGTTGCCAATGGAATCAACAAAAAGTATTATTAAGCGTTGGACAACTGAAGAAGATCTAACAGAAGGTTTAGCTTTACAACGAAAAACTCAATCATTAGCGGATTTTACACGAGGTGATTTTTGTCTATTAAATAAATTATAAATTAAGCTCCCAAAATTTTTTAGTTTGTTTAGTTTGAAATTACTTGTATTTATATCTATACTTGCATAATTTTATATTTGAACATTTTGAATATTTTTGCAACAGGTGAGGAGCTTGGACAACGACTTAGTGATTCTCATTCGGATTCAACTGACAGCGGTATACAATCCGTAGGTGGTGAAGAAACAGGCACATACACATCTCTTATACACAGGGTACTAGGCGGAGAGTGTCAAATCACCTACCAATGCGCACAATGTGACACTAGTTCCCGCAATACGGACAAATTTCGTGATCTACAGTTGTGCTTTCCCGAAGAGATACAGGAAAACCAGGAAGTATCCGTTCAGGATCTTATCAATTATTATCTTACACCAGAGAAGCTTACGGGGGAAAACAAATATCGATGCGACAAGTGCATGAAGTTGTGCGACGCGCAGAGGATCATTACAATTCTACAAGCACCCGCGCATTTAATTCTGACACTGAAACACTTCCGATATGATTTCGATACTCGACTAAGGACCAAACTTCGGCACAAAGTAGTATATAACGATACCATACAATTACCGGTATCGACGATACCATATACCGTAGCCGAAACGTATCATTTGTACGCCGCTGTCGTGCATTCCGGATATAGCATGGATTATGGGCACTATTTCACATATGCTTGCGATTCCAAGCAGAATTGGTACAAATTTAACGACAGTTTCGTAACGCAAACTACATTCGAGGACTTTAAAAGCTTGAAACCTCCCGATACGCCCTACATATTGTTCTATGAAAAATCGGGAGCTCATGACGGGATGTACGAAGATGACAAGCCTGAATTGTCGACTCTAAATAAACGTATACAAGAATTGATAGCAAATGATACTACAGATTATATAGAAGAGTTGAGACGTCGAGCGATAGCGTCGCAACGTAGTCAATTTCTGACAAAGCCTTTGAGACAGCATAACAATTCCGACGATGATAATCCGCCACCCAGTAGCTGTCGTGGTGCAATCGACGTCCCGGCGAGTCGTTTTCTTTATTAAATGAAAAATCTATACGAATAACAAATCTTGCCAATTGCAAACACTTCTGTATTTGTTCTAAATATTTATACATACAAAGTAAAAAAGGAAATACACAATCATCGCCTGTATAACACAGAAAGACACGTTTATGGTTGTATACCATATCGTATTGCTAGGAAA